AATTTATGAGGTTTAGGTTTAAGGGTGAATTTGACAGCGATAATGTTTCGAAATTAGGAAGGGAAGCAGTGATTATTTGATTATATAGACGCTTCGCCAGTGTGTGTGTGTGTGTGTGTGTGTACATGTGGGTGTACGTGGAGAAGCACAAAACCAATGCGCTAGGATCTGGACAATAAAGATTTTTCTTATCTTATCTTATCTTGTCTTGTCTTAAATCATTTCTCAAAGACATGCCCAGTGACACAAACTGGCCAACATGACCGTGTTTTTCGTTCTAAGTGCGTGTCTTTCAAAGGTAATCTCAGTTTATTAAAAAACACTGTATCTATCTGTTCTATGCTCAAAATTCCTGATTTCTTTAACCCTATCCGTACGTCATTTTTTACTATCGTATCCATACGACGTGGGGAACTGTGCGCAACCACTTTCCAAAGAGGAAATTTACTCGTTAACTCACTTCAGACGGTTCACACAACAGTTGCGTGACGCCCGCCGCGACGTTCACTACGGTTCCCACAAGCCCTGCGTGACCAACTTTGGAATTTTTTTTCGCTCTACAAATCACGCACGGATCGCGTGACCCGCCACGTACCCTTGTTTGGCCAGGCCTGAGCTACTTAGACTTCGTTTCGTATCTCTGGGGTCCATATTTTTTAAGTTATTGAAGGTGAAGGACAGTGACCCCAACTGGGGTTGTACTGACCGGAACTCGCACTATGTTTTTTCCTATACAGCTGCTAGTAATCCGACAGTCGCGTCGTAGTAACGGTCGAAGAAGTCGCATGAACAAGAATCACATAATTTCGCCGTTTTCGATACTTCTGTTCGTTTTACTAGTTCTTGTGTCTCAGAATATGATGTGTCTGATAGTTAGGATCCTGGATATGTACCCGAACACGGCTCGAGTTGTAGTTCTAGGACTATATCTAGCACTAGTACTGGTGTTGTTGTTCGCGCGACGAAATCACAATGTCGTGCCGTACATCTGTCTCATGTAATTCAGTGTATGGGTCTGAACCAACGCACAGACCAGCGTACGGATAGAGTTAATTTGTTCCTAAGACAATTGAGACACTCTTCATAACATTTTAGAGTGTGACTATCCCTTTATCAAAACATCCTCTCAGTGCACAGGAATTCATGTAAAAAAGTAGGTTTTTAATATATTCCCATATATAAAGTAGAGCTATACGTATTTCTTCCTCCCATTCAGTTTTTAACTTACATATTTAATCTGCTGGAAAAGCTTGATACAAAGAGCTTTCATGCATTTTATAATTAGACTAGAATTAAAATGTTTAGTTGACCAGTTGATGCATCCAGTACGCACTTAGAAGATTTCTAATATATCTTCTACTTTTTCACTCAAGAATTAAAATTTTTTTAAAATCTTCCTTTTTATAGACAAGACAACAATTTAGTTCGTCTACAGACAAAAGCAAAGCTACCGTAATAGACTAAAATATTCAAGGTCTTTCTTTAAAAACACTATTTACTTTTCAAGAATGTTATAAAGTCTTACCAATTTAAGCTTCCTCGTTTCAATTATTTCCTCAGCTACTTTGTGAACAAAACTGCAATGCTTCAGCATGCGTCGTCCCATTGGGGTCAGGAAGTACAAGAAGTCAGAGTAAAACCACGGCATACTGAAAGAAAAACACGAATAACCACACTGCAGATACATCATAACAAGCCAGGTACAGTGCAGCCTCTCTATAACGACCTTCAATTTAACGACATCCTGCGTATAAGCAGCATGGTGCCAAGGTCCCCATTTTTTCCTTATACCGTATATATCACTAGTCATTTTTGGTTGTCTCTCTATAACGACAATTCTCTGTAACAACATTTTTTTCTGGTCTTGACGATGTCGTTATAGAGAGGCTGCACCGTACTCTGTGAACATCTCTTCACAGTTCCCATCTACAAATAAAAGACTCATTGCATGTATTTCCATTATTAAAAATTGACAAATCCACTCCACCATAGGGTCTAGTAATACTTTTCTTCTTGACGCCTACTTTAGAGAAGAATATGAAAGTTGAATCAAACTCGATTTTGTTACTTTTTTCTGCGCATTCTTTCCTTCACAATTTCATAAGTTTTTAAAAAGAAACTGTCCTGGCTACAATTCTCTGATGGGTATAGATATTCATCCTGCTAACATATTGCAGTTCGTTTGCAATTCAGGGTAAGTCTTACACTCGTAGATCAAACATTTTAAACAGAGTTTTTCAAAACAACTAATTATGTCAATTATAGCTTCAGTCTATTGTTGTTATTATTATTATAATTTTTATTATTATTTATGTCACTGGACAAGACTAGCCAGATCCAGTGTATGCTTGCATTAACCCATCCATAATCTACAACGAAATAAGAAACATTGATACACTACAAATTCCTGTTACTCACAAAAACCTGTCAACCAGAAGTTTTGAGATATCATTGACAGCTTGAACATACGGGTGCTTTTCTCTGAAATAGGACCAAAATAAAAAGATGCAAAACCTGAAGACATGGACAATCTCATGATACATGGAAAGGGAAAGTGAAGCAATCACAATTGAATGCCAAAGACGGCCTGATAAAACAACTTTTCACTTTTCATCTCATGATATGACCCACACGTATGCCATATACTTAGGCTAAGCTTTGTTCACTACATTAAGTTAAACACAGTAGAACTTGGATTATAACCAGTCATTGGGCCTGACCTTCAGCTGCGTTGAATCTGAGTGTTTGATATAGCAAACATGAGGTTTTTGGGGAGATAATTACAGGCACTGAAGAAGTAATGTATAAAGTATTCTACTTTCTCAGTCAAAAGTAGTTTGGTTTCAAATGAGAGGCATTTTGGTTTCTTGGATGGCATGCCGAAGAAATGCTGAACAATTCCAGGAAAATAAACTGAACTCAACCAAAGACACACTTTGTAAAAGGGTCAGTCCATTCAAATGCAGATTATTTAAGAAGATGGCTGCATCCACCCTGCCTATCAGTTCCCTAAATAAAGATCATGTTTAAACATGTATGGCCATGAGCCAATTATCATTATTACATTCAAAGAATTACAAACACCTTTAAATTTAACTCTTTCACTACCGCAAGCCTTGTTTCATTGCTCGAGTTACTCCCAACGCTGGACAGCAAGTCGTGTTTCATGGCTCGCCACCTCCTGCTTCAAAACCACACCAACTTTTGAAATTATCGAATCTGAAATATCAGGCTGAAGAATGGCCATTGTTAGCAACATGTTGAGATAGATCATTATTTCCTCTTTATTTTCAAATGTTATAATATATGTGGTTAATATTGAAAATTGAACTAAAAAATCTTTCATTTGTCCAACGGTAGGCAGAATCAGAAAGTAGGTCACAGACAGAGCCTGGCCCAGGTGAGGAAAACCTCTCGGTAGTGAATGAAAGACTTAAAATTATATTGCATAAATCTAACCGAGTAGAATGTTCAATAAACCATAGTTATTAGTACCTACCCAATCTCCTGACAGTTAGTCGTGTAGGACATAGCACATCGCAGAATAACATCAAGTGTAAACATAGTCACATCGGAAAATACCCGTAAGGATGCACACCGTTCAGCAGCTGTTTGGAACTTTTGCTGAAACAAAGAACACAAAAGATAGGTACCGGTACCTAAATGTGAAGCACTAAGTACTGGGTGAGCTTGCTGAAGTGAAACAAAACTACAAAGATTTCAAATTTATATAGCAAACAAAAGTTTTTATCAAAAGAAAGCATGCTGTCAGTTAGATTTTCCTTAAGAATTAATTTTTTGTACAGTTTCCAAAAATGAGACGCAGAACTGTACACAGAGCAAAAGATAAGATCAAATCAAAATAATATAAAGGTCATCTTAAAAAAAGAAAAACTGATTCTATGAAAATGTTTACTCTCACACACAAAAAGTAATTTCTAACCCTTTGTAAAACTGAAATGGAAAAAAAAAGTTACTGAGCTTTGCAAAGAGTTGATTAAGAAGAAACATTTACCACCAAATCATCTGCACATCTGTTCTTCACTTCCACGTAGTTCTTTAAAATCTCAAAGTGAAATGCAGGAGTGAGGAGCCGTCGGTTTCGTGACCATTTGGCTCCGCGGCTGGTGAGAAGGCCATCTCCTATCCAGGGCCGGATCAGGTTATACACTGGCTCCCCTTTAGGCTCTGCGGATAGTGATCAACAAACAGACCATCATCAAACTGAATACCAAACTGGCCACCATTGAACAGACCAGCAAAGGTATGGTGAAATGGTATAGACCACAGGTATAAAGCCCTATTATATTAGATTATTCAAAAAGCGGGACCTCAGAGTTTAACGTCCATCTTCGAAAGGCCCGAGCCAAATGGGACATTCGAGTAAAGTGTCTTTCCCAAGGACACAACATCGGACCAAACTGAGGCTCAAACCCCCCCATCTAGCAATCTCACGATTACAGGTCTGGTAGCCTAATCACTAGGCCACAGACCAGCAATGCAGAAAGGTAGATGACGAAGATGGAAAGATAAATGGTTTGAGGAAAGTAAATAAGATAGAAAGATACATAACTTGAGGATAGAAAAGTTAATAGACAAATAGAAACAGTTTGAAAAAGAAAAAGATACATGACTGCAGGAAAAGGAAGTAAATAAGTTCAAAGATATATAGTTTGAGGAGAGGAACGTACATATTCGTATAATAAATAATAATAATAAATTTTGCTAGTGAAACGTATTTCCACTTAGAAACTGCTCGAAGCGCTTTACAATAATACAAAGAAAAAGAGAACCATACGGTTCTACCGACGATCATTTCTCTCTGTCTCTCTTTTTCTCTTTTTCCATCTCTTTCCCTCTCCACCCCCCCCCCCCCCA